GGGTCGCTCTTATGGGACACTCTTGTCGGACACTCTTGTCGGACACTCGTATAGGACACTCTGGTGGGTCACTCTTATGGGACACTCTTGTCGGACACTCTTGTGGGACACTCTTATGGGACACACTTGTCGGACACTCTTGTGGGACACTCTTATACGACACTCTTGTGGGTCGCTCTTATGGGACACTCTTGTCGGACACTCTTACGGGACACTCTTGTGGGACACTCTTGTAGGACACTCTTGTAGGACACTCTTTTAGGACACTCTTGTGGGACACTCTTGTCGGACACTCTTCTGGGACACTCTCACGGAACAATCTTGTGGGACACTCTTCCACTCTTTGTGGGTCACTCTTATGGGACACTCTTCTGGGACACTCTTGTAGGACACTCTTGTGGGTCACTCTTACGGGACACTCTTGTAGGAAACTCTTGTGGGACTCTTGTGGACACTCTTGTTGTGGACACTCTGACGGGACACTCTTGTGGGACGCTCTTGTCGCTCACCAGCGACATGCCGCGTTTACACCAGCATGTTTCGGGCTCCCCTGTGGCACGGCGCATCGCCCACGCACTTTCCACCAAGGCCGCGCAAATCTGCATGGCACTGCGACATCACGGACGTAATTTCGCCACACGGTCTGCCCATACACTAGGAGCAATCATGTCGTACATGGTACCACCAATCATCCCGCTCACCAGCGACACGCCGCGTTTACACCAGTATGTTTCGCGCTCCCCAGTGGCACGGCGCCACGCAAACGCACTTTCCACCAAGGCAGCGCAAATCCCAATGGCACTGCGACATCACGAACGTCGTGTCGCACACGATCTGCCCACACACTACAAGCGTTTTGTACGAGACTTCCTCCAAAAGTCATGCGTACAGTCTCCAAAACGAGCGTTTCGTACGAGACTTCCTCCAACAGTCACACGTCAAGTCTTCCACATGAGCGTTTCGTACGAGACGTCCTCAAAAACTCACACGTCAAAGTCTGCAAAACGAGCGCTTCGTACGAGACTTCCTCCAAAAGTCAAGCGGAAACACCCATCGGAGCACACACATCACGCAGCCCTGCCAAGCAGTTTCTCGACTCCAGCCCCTCCAAACAACACCGGCCCACACGCCAATCCCAATGTCACAGCGACACTCACCTCTACCGCACAAAGTACTGCGCCTGCCACGAAAAGTGAAACTATCGTGTCATGTGAGCTTCAACAATATTTGCACCACACCACACGTTTGGAATGATTTCGACCCGTCCTGAGCACGCTCCCATCCACCAAAGTCGCCACTTCAGCTGAGACCTGTCACGAAAACAGAGCTTCGCTGCGACATCCTGAAACGCAAATCCTAATGGCACGGCCACATCCAACACCCCAAAAACACGACTCTCCAAACGCTAATCCCAATGGAACTGCGCAGAAAACTGCGGATCTCACAAAACGCTGTGCCTGCGCAGTGAACTCAACCTTCATACTTCAACATCTTACTTTCCACACGTTTCCACGCTATTTCACACGCATCTGGCACGTCAGGTTTTCATCCGAAACCCTCTCCAAAAGCTTCCCCCAATGGTAGCCTTAGCGCCCTACTGCGAACGGTTGCGAACGGTGGCAGACGGTTGCGGACGCTGAAACAACACGTCGCGAACAAGGCTCTACCCCCAGACCCCCAGAGTTAAACGAGAACCCTTCGCTACGCATTCGGGAAAACAGATCAAGCAACTCACTGAAATAGCATCAGCTAACCTCCCTGTCAACCCAACACGCCCTAAGCAATGCGCGATGGAAAAAGTTGTGCTGGTGGATGTGGGCCAGTCCTGCAAAAGGAAAATTTGCGGATTTAGAGCATTCTATGGGAGCAAGGACGCTACTAGGGGCTCCTGGCATCGCTACTAGGAACAAGGAAGCTACTAGGGGCTCCTGGCTGTACTAGGAGCAAGGACGCTACTAGGGGCTCGCCTGGTTGGAATCGGAATCGGAAGCTTACAACTCCAAAGGGTCAATGCGCTCGACGGAAAACTGCCATCCTGCGAAGAGTTGTCGCGCTAGGACAGCGCCAAAGGCCTCTTCCAGCCCCGAGGGGTTTTGCCTCAGACATGTAGCGGCAGCAGGAAACCAGTTACAGTAGATTGTGAAAATTGGCGAAAGAGTGCGAACACCAGCTTGACCCCTTTTGCAAGTGTAACGTGCAATTCTTGAAGATTGACCGCAGGCTGACCTTATCAGCCGAAAAAGGTCACTGTCCACGTACTCGAAAATGTAATACCTTGGCTGTGCAAGCAGCTCTAGTCACATCTTCCTCTTCCCCCACCACTCCAGCCTCAAAAATGGTTTCACTGATTGCAGCTTGGCCACAGGCTCCCATCTAGCTGGTTCCGCAGCAGCTCTTTCAAGCGCACGATGAATGGATGTCGCAGCCTCAAATGAGATCAAGCGGCGAGAACCCAAGCATCGTTACTAAACTCCCTGCCCCCCTCAAATGACAATAATACAAAATATGTATGTATACATATATAGAACGGGAAAATACTGTAAAAGATAGAAGACAATATGTTCAAAAGAAGGAAGTCATTCCGGGGAAGTTGGACCACGGAGACAAACAAAAGACATTGACAACATCTGTATCTGCATCTGTATGTGTGTTTGTGACATGTGTATCTGCATTTGTATCTCTGTCTGTCTGTTGGTCTGTCTGTCTGCCTGCCTGCCTGTCTGTTTGTTTGTGGCGAGTTGCTGTCGCAAGGCCGCCAACTCTGTGGACTTGCAAGCCTCATCCCAGCTCTTCGCGCCCAATTTGATCTGCTTCACTGCGACGAGCTCCTCACAAAGCTCTGCTTCATTCGAGTTTTCCTAGCGTTCTTGTGAAGCTCTACCCAACTCTACTCATACACTAACCCACACTGCAAATACAAACTGTTGGCCCTCATACTCCTTTGGAACATGAGAATTAGGTGGAAAACTTGAGGAAGGGGCAACTCAAGCTGCGGCGAGATATCGGGAGCAAGCGACCAGACCCATCTACTTAATCGACTTAATCCAAGCTCCAAATATGCACACTTCTTCTGTCCTCAGTCTTCTTGTGCCTCGCTTTGTAGACCTTTCCAAAAGCTCCCTCACCCAAGCGGTCCAAGACATCGTAGTCCTGGCACGAAGGACAAAGGCAAAGCCTCTATTTACCGAACCTACTGCTCTTCCAGCTCTTCCTTCCTCGTTAAGCTACCTTCATGCATCAATGATCAGCTGTAGACGAATAGATGTGCTTTGGTTCCAAAGAAAATGTCCTTCTCGATGGCCATTTAGAGCTCCATGGCAGCAAAGACACCTGCGAGGCTCAGCCCGGCTGCACCCCCAAATAAGGCTCCGACAAGCTGTGACAAGCAGCTATATATACACCTGGCACCAGCGAGAGAAGTCTATGAAGAGCGTTCCCCTGGCTTATTTGGAACTGCAAGGCCACATCACATGATTTGGGGGCTCCACTTGAGGCTTCCACGGAATGCTCCCTGTTGCCTGCGCATGCAAAAGGAGCTCTTCAGTGAAGCATCTCCGGAATTCTGGCACTAGAGCCCAAAAGCAGCGGCAAACACAAGGCTCCAAAGCGAGAACGTACTGACACGACATAGAATAGTCCAATCAAACTACGAAATACTGTGACTTAGTGACCTGTTGAATGATCACTTCTGGTGCAACCCATGGCCTCAAGCTGGCCTGCTGCCAAAGACTTCAGCCTGGAATGTGGTCACTGAAACAATCCTGTGATCAAAAGCCAAAATGTTCTGTCCGGGAGGTCTCTCAGCAGCAGGCATAACAACCTGAGAGAGTTGAGTCATCCAAAAAGGCGCAGTGAGTCAGCAGTGAACGTTTGAATAAATCAAACAACCTCGCTCCTGCAAGCACTTTAAATTCTACAGTTCTAGCCTGTCGCCAATTTGGAATTGCTTAGCATCTTAAGCCCCGAAGTTACGCCGCTCAGCTCCTCAAACTCAAGGCCAGCCGTAAGTGCAGAAGTAACTATTGAATTGGGGATGGACATCGCGACCCTGTTGAATAAAGTCTTTGGCAGTGGTAACCCGCTGACTCCAGGGCTTACAATTTCATATTGGAGGCTCTTCCTTTCAAAAGCTTCCACTCCTTTTTGTGAGCGCTTTGGCTCCTAGGACCCGAGGCCTGCCAATCTGGACAGCGAAGTGAAAACACCTCCCCTTCAGGGAGGTGGCCTTCCTGCCTTCAGGATCCACTAGGTCACTAGGTCACTACTCTAGATGTGTTATGCTCGCGAGTCTCCGGTGGTGCCGGCGTTCACCAGTATGCAGTATGAACTAAGTCGAAGTCAAGACGTGCGAAAGAGAATGGAACAAGGATGGGCCCTGAACAAACATAATTGGTGGCTAAAGGCTAAGGCAACCATAGAAGTGAAGGCAGGCCAGCACCATCATTGACTTGGATTGGGCAACTGACTTCAAACGTCCCGTTTCAAGCGCCAAACTGTGGTGCACAGTACGTGTGGTTGGTCCCACCTTGGAAATCCTGACCTTACAAAGTAAATGCAAATCGGTGGTCTCAAGTGTGGCTTTTGCGAAGCCCTCGCTGGGGGCCAATTTCAGCTTCAGTCATCTCAAAAGTGCGCTTTGGGCTGCCAGGTTGGACTTCCTTGTAGGTAGCACCTTTCTGCGTCCTCCTTCTTCAGACACTGTTTTAACAAGCTTTAAGCTGAAGAAGCTTGAAATCACAGCAGCGCCTAACCTGAACTGCGTATAACAGTCTTCAACACTTTCTGTAAGAGAGCTGCTAACAGGGACCCGACAACTGGCAAACGCTGATTGTACAAAGAGCACCCTCCATAAGAGATTCTTGTCGTGGTTCATGGTGGTGGGCTGTACTGTGTATAGCTATCCGTATGGCTTATAGACGGAGGCAAGGTTCTTCTGCGCATTTTACATATACCCCACGTTTCTGAACATTTGGCGTGAAAAGTGTCTGAAAATACATCACTTGCCTGACCAATGGCTTCTATATATATATATACATTATTGTCACTGTTCAAAGTCCTTATCTGGCTGGGCTTCGCTCAATGCTGATATGCTTTTGCCTCTTCGTTAGTCTTCATGGGCGTTACTGAGTGCTTCTCGGCTAGTCTTTGTGCAGTTCAGTGTGCAGTTGTCCTCAACCTATAAAAGCATGTCTTGTCTCAATTGAAGTGTCAGGTCGGTTGTAAATTGAAATTTGGGAGCACAAATTGCAATGAGGAATCATCTGCGCACACAAGTCACAAATCTAAAGCATCTGCAAACATACATAAATACATACAGACAAGCAGACCCAGACCCAGACCCAGACCACGCACATGCACATGCAAAACTGGATCAGGGATGGGCTTGGGGTGGGTGTGTTGGGCATCGTTGCAAAGTTGCCAGGGGTGTGTCTTCTGGATCTGCACGTGCATCTGCATCTTCACCACCAACCCGTGCGATTTTGGTCTCGCATGTGCACAAGATCCCGGTTCCGCGAGCCCTCGCCCCCCGATGAGTGCAAGGCAGGGCAACTTCGCAACAAGCCAGGACTGGCGAATTCGATATGGCGTCCACCAAACCAGCCATTTTCTGTGTAGGTGGATATTGTTAGAGTTAGAGAGCAACCCCGGGTTCGTCTTTTCGTTTCTGAGTTTCACCAACGCACTATTGAAAACTGTCCTAGAAGCAGTCCACGCTGCAATGCCGCTGACACAAGCAAAGACTACCTGCATGGAAGACCATTCAGCCGGTATGAGTGATCGGTCATCTCTGACATGCAAGCTACGATACATTCTACTGGCGGTCAGCAGCGCCAATCGAAACAATCTGGAAAAGCAGAACGTGTTGCTGTCAGGATGAGATGTAGGATGAAATCACACTCAATGGGTGTGCCACCGAGAGGCACACCCCAAAACCAGCAAGGCAGCCACAGCCTGCACTTTGTCATGGAATCTGGGAAGCTAACCAATAAGTAAGTGATGACATCACCGAATGACCTCATGATAATAATGCTGGTGCCGTGCTAAATGCTAAACTGGACTACTAGCTTGCACTTAGACGTCAAGCACGTGGCTTGAAATGCATAATCCGACACGGAAAAAGGCGGCATAGCAAACAGCGCTGCAGCTGGACACAAAATTTCTGAGGGCAGCGTACGACTCCAAACGTCTGCATGTTGAATCAAAGCACATGGAAAGGAACGAAAGGAGTGCCCGAGCCCCTTGTTTCCAATCTCTTTGAGGTAAATGTGTGAAAGAACAACCAAGATCAGCTAGCCGCTAGCCAGCTCAGCAGCCGCTGCGACCCCTTCTGTCCTTTTGGTACCATTATTTAGTAACTATCTTGGTCTCTAATTACATGCGGTATGCTCCTACACTAATCTTCAATCAAAGGCGTCCGACCTTGCCAAGCCAATCCAGGGTGACCCGAGCTGCATCCTGTGGGGGCATGTGAGAAACGCAGTTTCAACGCTTTGTTACTTGTTACTTCCGCTTGCTGTCCTCCACTTCTTTCTCTTCTCCAGTTGATGCTGTGCCAGTGGCCATGAAGCGAGCCGTCCTGGAGAGGCCAAGGACCCACACTTCATCAGTCTTGAACCAGCTGAAAAATCTCTGAGAGCAACAATCTTAGACTGGAGACTAGGACAACAGCCAGAACAAAAACCACAAACAAGGTTCCTTGTCTGTTCTCGCCTGACTTCCGATTCTTAATGTCAAGAATGAAAAGACCAAGTTCGAGGTCTCTCCGAGGTCTCCTGCCACCTGATTCCTTCGCCAATGGACTTGCCAAGAACGTGGGTCTCTGAGTTGGGGCTCGTTCTGGCCTCAAGATGCTGTCATCCTGCCAGTGGCTGTGCCAAGCAACTAGTCGTTCCCAAAAAAGGCTGTGCACAAAAAAAGACAAATTCTGACAGGCTCCTTGGTTTGAAAAGCTCCCTCTGGACTCTGGTCCAGTCTTTTCCAAGGATGGATCAATTTCACAACTGTCTGGCCATGCTGTAACTCTGGGTAAGTGTGGTGCTATGCCACTGGGCTGCGCAAATATATAAATGGACTCATGCTGCTACTCTGCTTTCTCACACGGCCTATGCCACTACGCTGCACTGCTACTCCTCTGCTCTTCTATGCCACTACAACACTTTTACCGTAGGAAATCAAAGCATCGGTGTTGCAGCTTTTCCGGTCACACATCGCGGGCACACTGCTTTCTCAACCCTGCCTCAGACTCAGCACCCCACATATCGGAATCAGCTGTCCTGCCCACCGCTTTCCTCATGCCCCACGCAGTATGAGACCCCAAATGTATCCAAATATGAAGCAATGGAGTAAACTGATCCAAAGCAATCTCCATGCCAGGTCCTGGATGGGGCATCCATCAAGACCAAAATGTGTTTATTCTCAATGAATGTGGTTGATTTCGATGTTGAAGTCAGACTTGATGATGTAGCTCTCGTTCGAGTAGTCGTCAACGTTGACGTTAAGGTTGGCCTTAAGGTTGACGTCAAGGTTGACTTCAAGGTTGGCGTCAACGTTGACGTCAGGGTTGCTGCAATGTTGGCTGGCCAAGCCTGCACTGCGCGCATCTACCAAATGCAGACTAAAGTGCACGAGTACAGGCAATCATTCAAAGCATTGTCCAAGTGCTTCCTGTCGGCTCCTGTCGAACGACTCCAGCCTGAGTGGTGCTCAAAGAAGTCACTGACGTGGCAATGCTTGTCGAAATTTCAGCCTGCCAGGATTGCAACGCAGCGTCTCACAGTCTCGCTGCTACCCCCACACTTGCCACAAGAAACTACTGACAGGTTTATCCCGATGCAGACCGCAAACACACGTTGCATTCAACAAACCGGTATGACAAACACACAGCAAGTTGCTTTAGACTCTAGAAGTGGCTCTTGAACAGAAAGCCTTGGTACACCGAACCGTTCCTTCCAGAGCCTGAATGAATCACACGCGGGAGTTTGATTCAAGGAGTTAATTCATCAACTAACTAGACGACGAGTGGCCCGAAAGCATTTTTCATCACGTAGGAAGTCAGAGTGTGAGTTATCTGTTAAGTGTTCAGTGTGAAGTGTTAAGTCGAGTGAGTTGAGGCAATGTGTGGGTCTCTGTGTGTGTGTATCTATGTCTGTGTGTGTGTATGAGTGTCTGTCTGTGTGTGTCCGAGTAAGTTGAGGCAGTGCGTGGGTCTCTGTGTGTGTGTCAACCTCTCAAGAGAGCCGGGTGGTCGGAAGACATGACTCAGCTGCAGGGGCGCCAGAGCAGCCGCGAGAGATGACTCAGCCGCGAGAGATGACTCATCCGCGTACTAAAGTTGTACTACAAAGTCGCCAGTTCTCAGCTTCCAGCTCCAAGATTGCCCCGCGTACTAATAAAGTTGTACTACAAAGTCGCCAGTTCTCAGCTTCCAGCTCCACAGATTGCTCCGCGTACTAAAGTAGTACTAGAAAGTCGCCAGTGCCTGCATTTCGCGCACTCGACACGCACGATCTCCGCAGAGGGTTGCGCGCGGACCGGACAAATCGCACTCTCGCCTGCATTTCGCGCACTCGACACGCACGATCTCCGCAAACGGTTGCGCGCGGACCGGACAAATCGCGCTCTCACCTGCATTTTGCGCACTCGACAGGCACGATCTCCGCAGAGGGTTGCGCGCGGACCGCCTGTTTTTCGCGCACTCGACACGCACGATCTCCGCAGAGGGTTGCATTTTCGGTTGACGCTGTTCGTCCCACCCTCCGCCTTTAAGAGAGAATTTATAAAGTGGGAAATGTTTTTCATTAGGACATCTCCCGTGCAAGT